ATAATAATCCAATAATGATCTAGGGAAATAATCCCTAACAATATTCCAATATTCCAATACTAGAAAACAATAATCAATAATAATGCAATAATATCAAAGTTTAGTTCAAAACGGAAGCATTTATTCAAATTTATTACCACAAATAAATTTGTGAGGTTTCTTTTTAAGATTTGTGATGCACGAATAAAATTAAGAAAATTGAGATTTAAGGAATTTTATTTACAAATCAACAGTAAATATCCATCTGTAAACCTGAACTGAACACATAATCAACTTTGTCAAGACGATATTATTATTCACAAACACAAAACAGTCATATTATGTCAGCACTGGCATAATCCGACCTCCGGCAGGCACGAATGCTGAGTCCCCCGTCTATGTGAAGATTGATCATCGTCCTGTATTTCACGGCCTTCTTCTCGTCACTTAACTCGAACACGAAGAATCTCAAAAGGACGGCAACGAGTATCTTCATCTGCCGGTACGCGAAATCCTTTCCCAAACATATTCGCGGGCCGGCCTATTTACCATGGAAAACAGTACAATGTTTGGTTAAGTTGATGATCTTTCTATCTTAATGATTGTTTGCACAAATTAAGATCATAGTCTCGAAAACACTTGTACGAATAACCTGGAAAGCCGTGAACTTGAAGGGGCTCTCGGGTTTGAAGCAACCGTTATTATCCATCCATCTTTCTGGTTCGAAATCCCGAGCATTATCGCCCCAGGCAAAAATCCAATTTTGGTCCGCTAATTTGTCCATTGTCCACTTTTGGTACACTAATTTGTCTCTCATCAAAAAAGGTCCATTATGTTACACATTTCATCAGTTTTAGTACGCTAATCCCGTGGCCCGTGATTACGAGATGCCAAATCAGTTTTTTATCCTGCCACGTCAACATCTTATCCTTCCACGTAGTTCCAATCCCGGTCCACATCATCTCGTAATCCCGCCAACTGGATTAGTGTACTAAAACTGATGAAAAATGTAACATAATGGACCATTTTTTATGAGGGACAAGTTAGCGAACCAAAAATGGACAATGGACAAGTTAGAGGACCAAAATTGAATTTTTGCCTATCGCCCCATATTGACTTCATGCGTCCCATTGCGTACGGCTGATATGCCACGACATCACCTTTTCTCACACTAAACCCGTCCGGAAGTGTATCATCAGCAAAGCACATTTTTGGATCCTACAAAATCGTGATATCATACTTATCATGTAACTAGCATTCTATAATTAGGGTTGTTATCGAACCGAACTGTTCGGGAAAAAATCTCGTTCGTGTTGGATAACAGCTTGTTCGTTTACTAATCGATCCTAACTCGAACATCAAATCATCAAATTATGTTCGTTTAGTACCACGGGAACTGGAGGATATAGTCTCAGAGTCTCGGTGAGTGCCGCATGAAGATAATGCATCTTCTCAAGAGCTTCTTCGCTCAAATTTGCGGCAAACTCCGACAAATTTGTATTTTCATCCCCATATTTCGCGGTTATTTCGATTTCCCGCACCACCTTTTCTTGCACGAGAGGATGCTTGCAGAGCATGTAGAAAAACCAGGACATTGTTGTGGCTGTCGTGTCCTTACCGGCCATAACAAAGTTGAGTATAATATCTCTCAAGTACTTTGGTTCGGCCCCCGACAACTTGAGAAATCTCGTTAGAATGTCTTGTTTCCTCAAATCCGCCTATCAAGAAAATGATTATAATTACAACAATTTGTTACACATACAAAGGGGAAAAAATATGGCATATGACATAATCTATTCACCTACATTATCATATTGAACTTGATCCATTTGTGTCGTCTTGAAATGGATGAGCGTGTAAACGATTTCGTCGATAACCCGAATATTATCCTTCAGCTTAGCCTCCGAACCAATGTTCAAAGCCTTCTTTATCTTCCACAATATATCAACATATCTCCAAGCAGTAATCTCACTTGAATCATCAAAAGCACGGCTAAATCTCGAACCTTCCTCGTTCGAACCACACATGTTATCCAGCTCGACCCCAAACGCGACCCTGAATATCGAATCTAAAGTCGACTTCATAAAAAGGTCCTGCAAAGATCAAAATAACCGAAAAACAATCAAAATTGTATCAAACAAAAGAAAGAAAGAAAAAACGAAAAGGTTTAAGGATGTTCACTTGAATATCCATCGGCTGATTCGAAGCCACAGCTTCCGAAACAATTTTAGCAAGTTTAACGGCGTTTTCTTTGAAAATTGTGCTGCTAACATCCCTTAGAGCCCTGGCCGAAAACTCGAGGCTCGACACTTTCCTCTGTTCTCTCCACCTTTCGCCATCAACAGCGAAAATGCCATCGCCCAACAAATCCTTTAAGATGCCGTAATTGTGCCATCCCTAATAAGAAAAGCTATAAAAAAGAAATCTTGAAAAGCAAAAAGGCCCATTAATATCGTTATTGTATGAACAAAAAAATGAGGGAAAAAAAAAAAATCACCTTGCCGAAATTTTCGAAGTTGGTTTTGAGTATATACTCGACGTTAGCCGGGTCGGACGTATAAACCTCGTTTCGAAAAGGGGCGACTAATCGGTAAGTCTTGTGCTTGCTGGCAAGATCAGTCATGTAATCATGAAGCCTGCTGAAGTTGATGAGCTGGTTGAATATGGTGCCTGCAAGAGGATGATACCTTATTTTGTTCTGTTTAAGGTTGAGTTTTCGTGCAAGAATTCTGAGTGTAAGAAGGGATAATGCAAGGATGAAGAAAGCTGTGGCCATGGATTTTTTTGGATGGAGAAAAAAGTCCATGGCTTTGTAAAAGCAGAATGCACTCATTTTGTTTCCCTCTGTTTTATTATTACTCTGTTAGACGGTTACTTTTCCTTTTAGTTTTGGAAGATGCTACGGTCCCGTTACGGAACCATTTCGTCGGGTTTGTAACCGTAGAGATAGTTGATCTAACGTTTACAAAGCCCGACAGAATGGTTACGTAACGGGACCTTAGCATTTCTCTTTAGTTTTTGTTTCAAAAGGCTAATTAATGTGTTTGGGCCATCTTTTGTCATGCTGATAAGGACAGCAGGTTTGCTTCTTTGTTTTTGTACCACATTAATGTGTAACAGAAAAAAAAAATTATTGACAAATCTCCCTGTTCTTTGCTTTTTTTTTTTTTTT